ATATGGTTCAATGATTAAGGATGCTTTCTGCCATTCCATAGGACTTGAATATGTCAGGTGGCTCACAACCACTACAACTCCAGCTCCAGGGGATGGGATACCCTCTTCTGGCCTCTTCAGGCACACACACACACACACACACACACACACACACACACACAAAACTAAAAAGTTGAATCTTTAAAATAAAATCATGGATCTGGAGAGAGGGCTCAGCAGTTAACACACTTGCTGCTCTTGCATGGGACCCAGGTTAGGTTCTCAGCACTTATATATTGGATCACATCTGTCTGTAATTCCAGTTACAGGGGATCTGATGCCCTCTTCTGGATTCCTTGGGTACCTGGCATGCACATGGTATACTATGTACATGCAAGCTAAACATAGAAAATACATACATAGAAAAATATCTTCTAAAAAGGGTAAGTTTAAAATAAAATAGTTCAGAATTTGCCAGGGTAGAGCACTCTGCCCTGCAGCAGGGTAGTAACTGAGACCTTAGCAGATTGCCTGAGAGTGCCAAAATCAGGCCTCTTAGTGAACTTCCCAAATTGTGCTGTAGTGTTCCCTAGCAGGGGTCCAGACATTGGAAGGAAGCTAGAGTGTACCTGACTGGAGCCTGACTTGGGTCTCTGTGGGAGCTGAGTAGCTGATCCGAAGCCATCAGTTTCCTCCAAAATAAAATCTGAGAGAACCTGAAACCTAGACCAACCAGCTTTACATATTCAATAAGAAAACAACCAAGGCACACCAATGATACAAACAGAAGCAGACTTCCAACTCAATAAAAGAAGGCTTGTTTCATACCAGATTCACAAACAAAAAAAGAAATTACATGCCAAAATCACAATGGGAGAATAATAATATGGAAAACCACAATGGCATGTTCCCACAAACTCCTCCAGTCCTGTAGAAAGAGTTCTACAAGGAGAACCCCTGGAGATAACCCAATACACAGAATTTAGAAGAACAATCATCAACATGATCAGGGAATTCAACAAATTTAAAGAACATAAAAACAAAGACCTGAAAGAAGGAAGGGACAGATTTCTGACGGAACTCGCAAAAGAAAAACATTGATGAAAACTCAGGCTGAAATGAAGAAGGATGTGAAAACTCAATAAGCCTATTTGAAACAATAGGAGAAAGCCTCACTGCTAGAATGAATGAAATGGAAAACAGAGTATCAATACTGGCAGATAAAGGTGAAGATCTGGACCGCTCAAGTAAAGATTATGAAAAATAAAAAAAAAACAGGAATAGAATATGCAGGAAATGTGGGACACCATGAAGAGACCAAATCTGTGTATCATAGGCAGAGATGAAGGAGAAGAATCTCAGGTTAACGGTATTGACCAGATCCTAAACAGGACTGTAGAAGAGAATTTCCCCAAATTAAGGAAAGACATGCCCATACACATACAAGAAGCACATAGAACACCAAATAGGAACAGAAAAGAAACTCCCCATTGACATACCATCAGTAAAAACACTAAACATACAGAACAAAGAATACTGAATCTGCAAAAGGAAAAAACAAGTCACATATAAAGGAAAACCCATCAGAATTACAGCTGACTTATCAATGCAAACTATGAAAGCCAGAAGAGCCTGGGCCAAGGTATTTCCAGTTCTAAATGACCATAGATGCCAGCACAGAATACTTTACCCAGCAAGAATGTCTATTACAGTTGAAGGTGAAAGAAAAATCTTCCACAACACAAATAGGCTGAAGGAATACATGTTCTCAAAACTGGTCCTTCAAAGAGTACTTGAAGCAATACAAAGAGTGGAGAAAGGAACAACGATACCCCAGGGGCAACAGAAAGACACTAAATAAAGGTATAATTGTGGAAACACAAAATTAGACAAGAATGCAAACAGTATTGATGGCAACCAATACAAATCTTTCAGCAATAACTTTAAATATCAATGGACTGAATTCTCCAGTCAAAAGATACAGGCAGGGATGGAGAGATGGCTCAGCGGTTAAGAACACGGGTTGTTCTTGCAGAAGACCTGGGTTCGAATTCCAGCATCCACATGGCAACAACTGTCCGTAACTCCAGTCCCAGGGGAGCCGACAGCCTCTTCTGGCATTGCACAACACAGGTGCACTTACCTACATGCAGGCAATACATGCATACACATAAAATAAAAATAAATGAAATTTTTTTAAGTTTATAAAAAAAAGATACAGGCTAGTTGAATGGATTAAGAAACAAAATTTATCTTTTTGTTGTCTGCAAGAAACCCATCCCACCTTGAAGGACAGGCACCATCTTGAAAGGATGGAAAATATTTTTTTTTTCTTTTTTGTCTTTTTGAGACAGGGTCTCCCTGTAGTCCCAGCTGACCTGAACTCACTATGTAGACCAGGCTGGCCTTGAACTCACAAAGATCTGCCTGCCTCTGCCTCCTGAGTGCTGGGACTAAAGGCATGCACCATCACGCCCGGCCTGATAGAAAAGAATTTTTCAAGAAAATGGCACTAAGAAACAAGCAGGGGTTGCAGTTCTAATATCTGACAAAATAGACTTCAAAGTAAAACTAATCGGAAGAGATAAAGAAGGTCTCTTCATTCTGATCAAAGGAACAATTAACCAAGAAGATATTACAATCATGAACATATATGCATCAAAATCTGGTGCACTCAAATTCCTAAAAACAACACTACAGGATGTTAAGACACAGATTACCCCCAACTCAATAATAGTAGGGGACTTCAATAGCCCACTGTCTCCATTAGACTGGCCAACTGGACAAAGAATAAAGAGAGACATCTGAATTAAATGATATCATACAGCAAATGAACCTAACAGACATCTTTGAATATTCCACCCAAGCACCAAAGAATACACTTTCTATTCAGCTTCCCGTGGAACTTTCTCAAAACAAACCTCAACAAATTCAAAAAAATTGAAATAATTCCATGCATTCTATCAGAGCACAATGCAGTAAAGCTTAATATCAACTCCAGAAGAAGCTGAGCCATCTCTCCAGCCCCCACAACTCACAAGCATCTCTTAAGGGACTGAAGAGATGGTGCGGCGGTTAAGAGCACTGACTGCTCTTGCAGAGGACCTGCCCACCTCTGCTTCCTGATTGCTGTGATCAAAAGCATGTGCCGCCATGCCCAGCTTAATTTTATTTTTAAACAAATTTTAAAAAATTTTGTCAGCCAAGAGAGGTGGTGCACGCCTTTAGTCCCAGCACTTGGGAGGCAGAGGCAGGCAGATCTCTGTGAGTTTGAGGCCAGCCTGGTCTACATAGTGAGTTCCAGGCCAGCTGAGGCTACAGGGAGACCCTGTCTCAAAAAGCCAAAAAGAAATTATTTTATATGTGTGTGTGTTTTGCTTGCATGTTTGTATATGTACCACATGCATGCAGTGCCCTCCATGGTTTTATTTATGTGTGTGTGTGTTTGTATTTTACATGTGAGTGTGCAAGTGTATGGAGACCAGAGCAGGACATCCAGAGTCATCTTTTTAAAAAATATTTTATTATTTTTATTTTATGTGTATGAGTGTATTGCCTGCATGTGTGTGAGTGCACCCAAGTCATGCAGTGCCACAGAGGTCAGAAGAGGGCTTTGGATTCCCCTGGAACTGGAGTTAAGGATGGTTTGTAGCTGCCATGTGGGTGCTGGGAATTGAACCCGGGTCCTCTGCAAGAGCAGTCAGTGCTCTTAACTGCTGAGTCATCTCTCCAGCCCCCAGAGTCATCTTTTTAAAAAGTTAATTTTATGTGTATGAGTGTTATGCCTGCCATGTATGTCATGCAGTGACTGAGGAGGCCCGAAGAGAACATCAGAGCCCTTGAAACTGGAGTTACAGACAGACCCATCCTGCCTTATTGCCTTGAGATGGTCTTTCACTGAACTGGAAACTCAGCATTTGGGCCTGGCTGACCGGCCAGTTAGCAATTAGCATCCATCTGTCTTAACCCCTCAGTGCTGGAGTTGCAGGTGCAGCCATGTCTAGTTTTTTAACCTGGGTGCTTGAGATTCAAACTCAGGTCTTTATGCTTGCAGATCAAATTTTCTTACCAAAGAACAATTGTTTATGTGTGTGCTTTTACACTCAGCTGCATATGTATACACATGTGCATATATGTGGAGGCCAGAGGTCAATTTCTGCCATCTTTTATCATTTTCCACTTTATGTTTGAGAGTCTCTTCATTGAACCCGGAACTCATTTCTAGGGATCTGCCTATTTCCCCTCCACCGAGCACTGGGGTTCCATATGCACTGGCTGTGTCTGGCTTTTTACCTGGGTGCTGAGGACCAAAGTCAGGTCCTCATGCCTGCATGACAAGCATTTTACCTCCTGAGTTGTTTCTCCAGCCTCTCTTCTTTCTTTTCAACAATATTATCTCATAAGAGTAACTTTTAATTTAATGACAAAAATTCAAATATGAAGAATTTCAAGCATTTTAGATTAGCCTTCAGTCATAATCCAGAACCATTTAGGATACTAGAATAATGATGTTATTTCAGACTGAATTTTTTTTTTTTTGTCTTTGTCTTTTTGAGACAGGGTCTCCCCTGTAGCCCCAGCTGTCCTGGAACTCACTATGTGGACCAGGCTGGCCTCAAACTCACAAAGATCCACCTGCCTCTGCCTCCCGAGTGCTGGGATTAAAGGCGTGCACCATCACGCCCGGCCAGACTTGAAATTTTTAATAGGCTTACTGAGCCTGGTAGGTAGTTAGCTAGACTCTTGAATGTGCTCTTACCTGGCTCCCTGTACTAGATACTGTATGTGATTCAGTATTAATAGTGTATGTGATTTTTAAAACACTTTAAAATTATGTTACAGTTTAGAGGCAGGTGAGATGGCTGGAGGGTAAAGGTTCCTGCCATCAAGCCCGACAACCTGAATTGATTCCCGGGATCCACATGGTGGAAGGAGGAAACCTACTGTAAGATGTTTTCTGACTTCCATGAATACGCAATAGCATGCACATGCTGCCCCCCAACAAATAAAAATGTAAGAAAAATAATCTTCAAGTTTTGTTGTGATAAATTTATTTAAAATATTTTATTTGAAAAGTTTGCTAAATAGATTTTCCAATATTGACAGAAAAGGGGTACCTCTGTAATAACATAAGAGAGTAACTGTTCACCCATCATGCCAATCAACTCAACCAAGGTCTTTCCAGTGCAGCAACATATCTTAGGGCACCAAAGTTCAGAATGGATAAAATGGCCTATTCAGAAAGCATGCAAGTTATACCAGGTCATTTCCTCTAAGACAGTATGATAAACCTGTTAACCAGTCTGCCCATGGGAAGAGAGATACAAGATGTCCATGTGAACTGCAGACATGCCAGCTGTCAGTTCCCATGATGGCTACCTAATATTGGGCTTTATCTCTTTTTCTTCCTCTTCACTATCATCAACTTGCTGGATGACCAGATCAACAGATCCATCCTCTACAATCTCCACATAAGATCGATTCTCTTCACTTAAGTGCCATCGAGACTCCTTTTCTCCATCTGATGGGGACATAAGATGTTGCTCAGCTTCCAAATCAATGGGGAGACGGTCTATGCCAACTTCAGCAAGGCATTCATTGCACAGTCTGTAGTGCCTGGTGCCCTCCTGGACCACTTGCCCTGTTAGGTCAGTAGCATGACATTTGCATTTTCTGCAGATTAGTTTGCACGCCTGGTGAATCTGTGTAGCGATTTAAATAGTGATAAAAATGAATTTTCAAAAGCAGGTCTGTTTTAGGGGACAGTTTATAAAATTAAGATGTTCAAGGCTATGTGTTAAATTTGACATCTAATTATCAGAAAAGATCAAGTGTTGGTGATAAATTGATGCCATGGAAATGTCAGATATCAGCTTTCTCTTAATCATACTATATTGGTTTTGTTGTTACTATCACATATGTAACCATTTCACACATTCATTAATCCAATAGTATTTTGATATGTAAGATAAGGAGATTCCTTCCCAGGATAACAGTTGCAAACATTTCCTGGAACTCACTGTGTAGACAAGGCTGGCCTTGAACTCTCGGAGATCCACTTGCCTCTGCCTCCCAAGTGCTGGGATTAAAGGCGTGTGCCACCATGCCTTGGCTATCTCCTCACTTTTTAAAAAAAAATTAAAAAAAAAACTTTATTGAGAATTTCATACATGTATATAAGGTGATTTGATCAAATCCACACCCACTCCATCCCCTCCAACCCCTCCCATATCTCCCCATCACTTTTTTCTGACAACTTCATGTACTTTTTTTTCTCTTTCTCTTTTCTTTCTCTCTCTTTCTTTTTTTGTGGGGCTTTTTTCCACTCTAACCTCCCCCCCCCCCCCCGAAGAGGTCTGTTATTAGGACTTACTATTTTTTTCAGTCTTTTTAAGACAGAGTCTCCCTGTAGCCCCAGCTGTCCTGGAACTCTTTATGTAGACCAGGCTGGCCTTGAACTCACAGAGATCCGCCTGCCTATGCCTCCCGAGTGCTGGGATTAAAGGCGTGTGCCACCACGCCTGGCTGTTATAAGGACTTTTACAAATTATTTGCCTATGTGTATGTGTAATGTGGGAATGGGGATATGCACATGCTATGGTGAATGTGGGGAGGTCAGGGGACAATTCTGTGGAATTGGTTCTCTCCTTCCACATTTATATGGGATCTGGGAATCTGGGGATTGAACTCAGGTTTCCAGGCTTGCATGAGCCATCTTGTCAGCCCTGTTCTAAGAACTTTATATAGTTTAATTTGGGAGTCAAAAATCTTATTTAAAAAATTTTTACTAGCCATAGGAAGAAAAGTACAGTCCCAAATATAAACTTATCAACATTTTTGCTGCCTGCTTCTTCATTACTAATGGATGCCTCTCACAGGGCTGATATGAGGACCACATGAGTTAAAAGATCAGAAAATAAATAAAAATCTTAAAAAGTTTCATTTTAAAATATACTGTTTCTTACAGAAAGACTCATTGTTTTCACTAATAACACTTAGATCTTGGCACATGCATCTCTCATCTGTATGTATCTAATCTGTATGTAACTAGTCATGGTTGGTTGCACTCGGTTAACTCAATTTTATGTCTTACAGGGTTTATACTGAGTTCAATATTGTATAGCTATATTAATTCAACTGTGAACCTAAAAATTTTATAGTCACTTTTGAAAGAGATATATCTTTTCTCTGGAAATTGTTGTTGAGTATGTTAAAGCTGTAATGAAATGCTTCTTCTAAAAAATAAAAAATTAAGATGGGTATGGTGGCGTATGCCTTTAATCACAGCACTCAGGAGGCAGAGGCAGGTGGATCTTTGTGAGTTCAAGGCCAGCCTGGTCTACATAGTGAGTTCCAAGATAGCTGGGGCTACAGGGAGACCCTGTCTCAAAAAGACCAAAATAAATAAATAAAAAAAAAATTTAAAAAATCTTAAAAATTTAATTGACAAATGATTACATATTATCATTATAGTTAGTAATAAACTACTTTGTTCAATAGATGTTTGGATAGTAGATAATGGACTTTAACTGAAAAATTATGAGAATTAATTGTAAAATGTTGGATTAATGTTTGTGGAATATTCACTTAAAGTCAGAACAGAATGGGAAGAGGTCACCAAACAGAGTCAAAATAAAAGTCCAAGAAAGCTAACATGGTCTGGAAAAAAAACGAAGAAACTGTCTGGAACTCCGGTCAGACAGTGAGCTTTGCTTAACCACTGACATGTTAAACAGGAAATATCAAAAGTATACATTCTGAATGAATCCTTAGTTCTTCTGAGATCATAAGATTATGGGTATCACCTGTAATACACATTTTTGTTACAAGTTTTAACAGATTCATGTTCATCCCTCCAATTCTAATATAATAATGAAGTTAAATAATTAAGTGAAACATTATACTGTTAAACTTGAAAATAGTGTAAAAGGAATCAATCTCTGTACCAATAAGTGCTCAAATTTTTTGTGTATTTTGCCTGCATGCATGTAAGTGCACCCATGTCATGCAATGCTCACAGAGGCCAGAAGAGGGCGTTGGATTCCCTTGAACTACAGTTACCAACAGTTGCTAGCTGCTATGTGGGTGCTGGGGAATTGAACCTGGGTCCTCTGGAAGAATCACCAGTGCTCTTAACTGCTGAGCTCTCTCTCCAGCCTCATGGTCTCTTAATTTCATTCCCCATAAAAGGAACCAAGCCTCCTTTCAGAAATAGCTGATTCATTGTTGTTACTGTTTTGTTTTTTCGAAACAGGGTCTTGGTATGTAGTATTGGCAGCCTGGTACTTTGTAACTCAGGCTTGCCTTGAACTCACAGAAATCCTGCCTTAGCTTCCTGAATTCTGAGATTATGGGTATAAACTGCAACATCCAACTCCTGATTCCAGTTTTGTGAGGAAAAGTATAGGGTGAACCTAGGCCTCTTTTGGGGTGCAGAGGACAAGGACACTTCCAAAATCTAATGACTGTGACAAAGTAACATTAGAGCATTTCAAGATAGAGATGCTCCCTGGCTACACTGAAAACGTGAGCATCAAAATGAAGAACAGAAGTGGGGTATGAGGCTGGGCGTGATGGCACACGCCTTTAATCCCAGCAGAGGCAGACAGATCTCTGTGAGTTCAAGGTCAGCCTGGTCTACAGAGTGAGTTCCAGGCCAGCTGGGGCTATAAGGAGATCTTGTCTCAAAAAGACCAAAAGAAAAAAAAAATTATCTCCTACTTCAAGGTCTCAAAGGAGAATATTATTTTAAAAATATATTTATACTTTATTTATTGTGTGTTTGTGTATCCACTGTGTTTATTATTTTTGTTTATGTGTATGTGTCTTCCTATGTGAGTTTATGTGCAATGTGTGTGTGCAGGTGCCCATGGAAGCCAGAGGGCTGGATCTTCTGGAACTAGAGTTACAGATAGTCATGAGCTGCATGATGTGTGTGCTGGGAACTGAACCTGGGTCTTCTGCAAGAACAGCATGTTCTCTGCTGAGCCATCTCTCTAGCCCCAGAGGACAACTTCTGAGAACTGGTTCTCTCTCCTTCTACAGTGTGGATCTCTGGGATTAAACACGGGTCATCAGGTTTGGTGGCAAGTACCTTTACCCTTTTAGCCATCTTGATGGCCCATAGAACAGAAATTTTTGTATAACTTTATATAAAGTTATGTATTATGTACAAAGCAAAAACAGTACTGCAGAAGTTGGTTTTTAAAAAATTTTTATTTTATGTGTATAAGTGTATTGCCTGCATCTATATAAGTGCACCTGTGTTGTGCAGTGTCTACAGAGGTCAGAAAAGGGCACTGGATCCCCTGGAATTGGACTTATAGTTGTTAGCTGCCATGTGGGTGCTGGAAATTGAACCCAGATCCCATGCAAGAGCAGCTAGCGCTCTTAACCGCTGAGCCATCTCTCCAGCCCAGCCCCATGAAAAAATTACTTTTTAATTAATTTATTTGTTATTTGTGTGTGTGTGAGCACACACGCCATAGGATGCATGCGAAGGTCAGAGGACTATTTCATAGAGTTAGTTCTCTCCTTCCATCCTTACATGGGTTCTAGGAGTCAAACTCGTCAGACTTGCATCATCATCAGATAGCAAGGCTGTCCCTGATGAGCCATCTCTTCATGGCCTAAGAATTATTTTTTAAAAATTTATTTACACTGTTATGGGGCTGGAGAGATGGCTCAGTGGTTAAGAGCACTGACTGCTCTTGCAGAGAGTCCGGGTTCAATTCCCAGCACCCACACAGCGGCTACAAACCATCCTTAACTCTAGTTCCAGGGGAATCCGAAGCCCTCTCCTGACCTCCGCAGCATTGTACAACACAGGTGCACTCACATACATGCAGGCAATACACTCATACACATAAAATAAAAATAATAAATAAAATATTTAAAATTTTTATTTACACTGTTATTTTGCCTCTCTTAAAATTTTTATTCATTTTTATGTGTACAGGTGTTTTGCCTGCATGTATCAAAGTGCACCACATGTGTGCAATGTCTGCAGAGGCCAGAAGAGGGTGTTAGATCCTCTGGAACTGGAGTTATGTAAGGGGTGTTAGCTGTCATATGGGTGCTGGGAACTGAACCTGGGTCTTCTGCAAGAGCCATCTCTTCAGCCCCTAGGGTAAGAAATTTTTATTTTATTTCATTTTTTTTCTTTTTGAGACAGGGTCTCTCTGTAGCCCCAGCTGTCCTGGAGCTCACTATGTAGACCAGGCTGGCCTTGAACTCACAGAGATCCACCTGCCTCTGCCTCCCAAGTACTGGGACTAAAGGCACTATGCCTGGCAAGAATTCTTAATAGAGTTGTTTGAGCCGGGAGTGGTGGTGCACGCCTTTAATCCCAGCACTCTGGAGGCAGAGGCAGGTGGATCTCTGTGAGTTCGAGGCCAGCCTGGTCTCCATAGTGAATTCAGGACAGCTGGGGCTACAGAGGGAGACCAAAAAAAAAAAAAAATAGAGTTGTTTGAAGATATTTTCCTCCATAAATTTAGGTATGTGTGTTATGTGTGTGGTATATGTATGTGTACATGTTCCTGTATGTGCATACATGTGGAGGCCAGAGGTTAATGTTGAGAGTCTTTTGCTATTACTCTCTACCTCTTTTTTTTTTTTTTTTTTTTTTTTTGAGATGGTCTCAAAGCCAAGCCCAAGCCCAAGCCAGCCTGGAAACTCACTATGTAGACCAGGCTGGCCTGGAGCTCACTGATTTAGCAAGAGTATCTTGGTTAGTAAACTCTAGGGATCCTGCCTGTACTTCCCCAGCACCAGGATCACAGTGTGTATCACCATACCTGGCTTTTTTCTATGTGGGTGCTGGGGGTCCAAACTCAAGTCCTCATGCTTATGTGGTAAGCACTTTACTGAGTGAGACATCTCCTTATCACTAATTTAAAGTAATTATTAAGGCAGATAAAGGCAAAGTTGGAGATACAGCTCAGTAGCAGAGAGCTTGGCTGGTATGCATGATGCCCTGTTCAGTTCCCAGTAATAAAAGAAAAGGAAGAAAAGAAATTCAATATTTTACAAGAAGCAAAGTGATGAGAAATCATATACATACTGTTCGGAAATGGCTATTTAGATGGTCTAGCCTGCTAAATCGTTTTCCACAAGCTTGACACGGATAGGGCCTTTCTCCTGTATGGCAGCGCAGGTGGCGCTTGAGGTCTGATTTCCGCTTCACCACATGTGTGCAGTATGGGCACTTGAATCGCAGCCTGGACAGATCATCTGTCATGAGACAGTTTGATTAAATCACTGCAGAGACCATAATGACAGTTCTATTAGTGCAAGGGATCCAAAAGGAGTGGGGGAGACGTTACTTTAAAGGTAAAGAAAAGGACAAAGTGTACAGAGTGTCAGTGCAATCCTGTGTACAGAATTACAGCTTCAGTATTTTATATATTGACAACGACTGGACAAATTTAGACTATCACCCCTATCTTTTTATTTCATGTTGTGTTTTAAATATGTAGTATCATGCCAGGCGTGGTGGCGCTCACCTTTAATCCTAGCACTCGGGAAGCAGAGGCAAGCAGACCTCTGTGAGTTCAAGGCCAGCCTGGTCTACATAGTGAGTTCCAGGACAGCTGGGGCTACCGGGAGACCCTGTCTCAAAAAGACCAAAAGAAAAAAAAAAAAAAAGTAGTATCAGATTTGAAAACTATACACACAATCCAAAAATAAAAGCACTTCACTTTTAAAGATTTTAATTACATTTATTTATTTTTATTTTGTTGTCTTTGAGACAGGGTTTCCCTGCAGCCCCAGCTTTCCTGGAACTCACTGTGTAGACCAGAGTGGCCTCCATCTCACAGAGATCCACCTGCCTCTGCCTCCTGAGTGCTGGGATTAAATGCATATGCCACCACACCCACTGTTAATACACTTTTGATTGTGGTACCAGGGACAGAATCTAGGGTCTAAGACATGCTAAATACTCTACCACTCTACTACATCCTCAGGTATTTTTTTCTTTTTTCTTTTTCTTTTCATGTGGACATCTGTGGTGTGTGTGTGTGTAAGTACTTTTAGTATTCTAGTATTTTGACTGTCATTAAATGTACCCACTATTATATTTTGAAGTCAACATTTTAAACCCATGTTCTATGAAATCATTTTGAGTAAAATATGATGTTAAAAAAAAATCACTTGGTTCAATTGCCATAGCATCTAAAATTAAGGGCATGTTGAGATAGGACTGATTTATACAGGGCTTTGGAACTGGTGAGGGACTTAGGCTCTTTTGCAGTACCTGGAAAACTCCTGGATGTGACCTCAGATGCTTGACCGTACTGATACCCAACAGGAGCAGAGTCCATTTCAGCACCAGCTTGTGCTTGCTCTTCAGACTGGGAAGCGTGGTTGGCAGAATCAGATGTCTGTGATTCTGGTTTGCTGGACTTAAAATGAGCAACTTCAGACAGTGGGGACAGCCTCAAGTGCTTGGTCTTTTTGATGGAGTCTTTCCTTTGTTCATGCTTGGTCAGAGGTGGCTGAGTATTCCTTTGGCAGGCTGGATGATAATTAGACTTACTCCATGACTTTGCACTAATTACACTTGTCCCTTGGTCAGGGCTGAAGTGAGGCTGAGGGGAACTGCTCTCTTCTTGCCAGCCACCAGCATAAAGAGAGGGACGTTCTATCCTGTTTGAACTGGCGTCCTTATCAGAGAGACTAAAATAGCGATCCTTTTCTTTCTCACTAATGTCCAAGGAAGATTTAATGAACGTCTTGCACACGCTAATAACATCAGTCATCTGAAGGAAGCTTGCAGCGGACATCACTTCTATAACATTCTGTCCACTAAGAGAGAGTTTGCCGGAATAGACAAAGTCCAGGATAATTGTGAACGTGTCAGGAGAGAAGGCCTGAAATGTAGCTGTGGTTGGCTGACTCATCTCCTTCGAATTCTGAGAAAGCAGCATTTTAAAGTAGCCACTGCTAGCAAACAATACATTTCGGTGCGCTTTGAAGACCTTTCCTTCAACTAGAATACTGCAGTCACAAAACACATCTTGCCTGCGCTGCTCGTTGAGTTGCTGCAAGAGGTCAGACAGATGAGAGGAGATCTCCATTCTGTAGGGAAGAGACACATGGGGTTACCAGAGAGGAAGTGACAGACAAGCCCTCCGAGGAGAAGCCCATGACAGTAAGGATCAGAAGCCTCATTTTCCCATGGGACAGTAAGGCTCTGAGCCTTGTTTTCTTATCAAAACCTCCTTTCTTCTTTTTGTTTTTGAGACAAGGTTCCACTCTGTAGCCCTGACTAACCTGGAACTCCCTATGTAGACCAGGCTGGCCTTGAGCTCACAGAGATCCACCTGCCTCTGCCTCCTGAGTGCTGGGATTAAAGATGTGCGCCACCACGCCCAGCAACCTCTTTTCTTCTTAGAGAACATAGTCCCCAAGACACAAGAATATTGTAGCTATCACAGGAACTGGTAGTGCTGACCTATAATCCCAGCAATCCCAGCTACTCAGGAGGTTAAGGCAGGAGAATCACAAGTTCAAGGTCTGCCTCTGCTACAGAGAGAGTTCAAGGTTAGCCTAGAAAACTTGCAAGACCTTGTTTCAAATGAAAAAGTGAAGAAAAAAACTTGGGTTCTAGCTCACATGGTAAATTACTGGCCTAGCATGTGCATCAAGGCTCTCTGCTGATCCTCAGCATTGCAAAGAAGGAAAACAAACAAAAGCCTCCACAAAATAGCAAAACGATAGTAGACTTCAAGAAATCATTTACTATATATGCTATTACTTATTAGATATTTTTAGAAAATTGTTTGTTGGGCTGGAGTTGTAGCTCAGTTGGTAAAATGCTTACCTAGCATGTACAAAGCCTTGGGTTAAATCCCCAGCACCACATAAAACTGGGCATGATGGCAGCCCAGCACTTGGGAGGTGGAGATGTGCTCTGTGAGCACCTGCACTCACATAGGTGTACACAACACACACACCCAGCTAAATAAATCTTAAAAAAAAAAATTAAAAGAAAAAAATCCCCGGGCATGGTGGTGCATAGCTTTAGTCCCAGCCCTTGGGAGGCAGAGGCTGGTAAAAAAAATCACTTGGTTCAATTGCCATAGCATCTAAAATTAAGGGCATGTTGAGATAGGACTGATTTATACAGGGCTTTGGAACTGGTGAGGGACTTAGGCTCTTTTGCAGTACCTGGAAAACTCCTGGATGTGACCTCAGATGCTTGACCGTACTGATACCCAACAGGAGCAGAGTCCATTTCAGCACCAGCTTGTGCTTGCTCTTCAGACTGGGAAGCGTGGTTGGCAGAATCAGATGTCTGTGATTCTGGTTTGCTGGACTTAAAATGAGCAACTTCAGACAGTGGGGACAGCCTCAAGTGCTTGGTCTTTTTGATGGAGTCTTTCCTTTGTTCATGCTTGGTCAGAGGTGGCTGAGTATTCCTTTGGCAGGCTGGATGATAATTAGACTTACTCCATGACTTTGCACTAATTACACTTGTCCCTTGGTCAGGGCTGAAGTGAGGCTGAGGGGAACTGCTCTCTTCTTGCCAGCCACCAGCATAAAGAGAGGGACGTTCTATCCTGTTTGAACTGGCGTCCTTATCAGAGAGACTAAAATAGCGATCCTTTTCTTTCTCACTAATGTCCAAGGAAGATTTAATGAACGTCTTGCACACGCTAATAACATCAGTCATCTGAAGGAAGCTTGCAGCGGACATCACTTCTATAACATTCTGTCCACTAAGAGAGAGTTTGCCGGAATAGACAAAGTCCAGGATAATTGTGAACGTGTCAGGAGAGAAGGCCTGAAATGTAGCTGTGGTTGGCTGACTCATCTCCTTCGAATTCTGAGAAAGCAGCATTTTAAAGTAGCCACTGCTAGCAAACAATACATTTCGGTGCGCTTTGAAGACCTTTCCTTCAACTAGAATACTGCAGTCACAAAACACATCTTGCCTGCGCTGCTCGTTGAGTTGCTGCAAGAGGTCAGACAGATGAGAGGAGATCTCCATTCTGTAGGGAAGAGACACATGGGGTTACCAGAGAGGAAGTGACAGACAAGCCCTCCGAGGAGAAGCCCATGACAGTAAGGATCAGAAGCCTCATTTTCCCATGGGACAGTAAGGCTCTGAGCCTTGTTTTCTTATCAAAACCTCCTTTCTTCTTTTTGTTTTTGAGACAAGGTTCCACTCTGTAGCCCTGACTAACCTGGAACTCCCTATGTAGACCAGGCTGGCCTTGAGCTCACAGAGATCCACCTGCCTCTGCCTCCTGAGTGCTGGGATTAAAGATGTGCGCCACCACGCCCAGCAACCTCTTTTCTTCTTAGAGAACATAGTCCCCAAGACACAAGAATATTGTAGCTATCACAGGAACTGGTAGTGCTGACCTATAATCCCAGCAATCCCAGCTACTCAGGAGGTTAAGGCAGGAGAATCACAAGTTCAAGGTCTGCCTCTGCTACAGAGAGAGTTCAAGGTTAGCCTAGAAAACTTGCAAGACCTTGTTTCAAATGAAAAAGTGAAGAAAAAAACTTGGGTTCTAGCTCACATGGTAAATTACTGGCCTAGCATGTGCATCAAGGCTCTCTGCTGATCCTCAGCATTGCAAAGAAGGAAAACAAACAAAAGCCTCCACAAAATAGCAAAACGATAGTAGACTTCAAGAAATCATTTACTATATATGCTATTACTTATTAGATATTTTTAGAAAATTGTTTGTTGGGCTGGAGTTGTAGCTCAGTTGGTAAAATGCTTACCTAGCATGTACAAAGCCTTGGGTTAAATCCCCAGCACCACATAAAACTGGGCATGATGGCAGCCCAGCACTTGGGAGGTGGAGATGTGCTCTGTGAGCACCTGCACTCACATAGGTGTACACAACACACACACCCAGCTAAATAAATCTTAAAAAAAAAAATTAAAAGAAAAAAATACCCGGGCATGGTGGTGCATACCTTTAGTCCCAGCACTTGGGAGGCAGAGGCTGGTGGATCTCTGTGAGTTGAAGGCCAGCCTGGTCTACATAGTGAGTTCTAGGCCAGCTGGGGCTACAGGGAGACCCTGTCTCAAAAAGACCAAAAAAGAAAAGAAAAAAAAGAAACAACATAGTCTGGTTCACATAGTGAGATCTGAGATATCTAGGTCAGCCAAGGCTACATAGTGACACCTTGTTTAAAAAAAAAAAAGAAAAGAAAAAAGATGAGAAGGGGCTGGAGAGATGACTCACCAGTTAAGAGCACTGGCTACTCACGCAGAGGACCCACGTTTGGTTTCCAGCACCCACATGCCAGCTAACAACCATCCATAACCCCAGTTCCAAGGGATCTGATGCCTTCCATGGACATTGCAAGTACCAGTGCACTTATATACATGCAGGCCAAACACTCAAACGTATAAAATAAAAATAAATACATTGAAAAAAAACTTTTTAATTTTAGGAGGGGCTATTTTTTTTTTGAGACAGAGTCTCAAATAGCCCTAACCTAGCCTTGCTATACAGCTGAGGATAACCTTGAACTTATAATCCTACAGGGTCCAGAAGAGGGTGAAGGTTCCCCTGGAGCTGAGTTTAGGCAGGCGTTTGTAAGCTGCCTGATGTGGGTGCTGGGAACTAACTTGGGTCCTCTACAAGAGCAATATGAGCTCGTTTGTTTTTTAATTGCAAGGAAGTCATAGATTGATTTAGGGAGAACTTACACATCTTTGTAATGTTAACTCTTACCATCAGTGAACATGTGTACGTCTCCATTTCCTGAGATCTTCTGTATCGTCAGTGGGTTTTCTTTAGTATTTTCTTTTTATTTTATGAGTATGTTGCCTGCATGTACGTAAGTGCACCTGTGTTGTACGATACCCATGGAGGTCAAAAGAAGGTGTTGGATTCCCCCAGGACTGGAGTTACGAACAGTTGTTAGCTGCCATGTGGGAGCTGGGAATCAAACCCAGGTCCTCTGCAAGAGCAGCCAGTGCCCCCAACAGCTGAGCCATCTCTCCAGCCCTTATTTTATTTCTTTGAGACAGGGTCATTCCAGTAGCCCCAGCTGGCCTGGAACTGGCTATGTAGACCAGGCTGGCCTCAATCTCACAGAGATCCACCTGCCTCTACCTCCTGAGTGCTGGGGTTAAAGGTGTGTGCCACAACGCCTGATTCTGCTTATACATTTATTACATGGTAAATGGGCAGCCACCCCAGCGTACACAGCAGCAAACAAGACCCTGTCTCAAACAAGGTAGAATTCTGATCTCTACACACATGCCCACACTCACATATGTGAACACACACATGCATGAATGTATACACACACATACACATATTAAAAATACTAACAATAGCCAGGCATGGTGGCACATGCCTTTAATCCCAGCACTCCGGAGGCAGAGGCAGGAGGATCTCTGTGAGTTCAAGGCCAGCCTGGTCTACATAGTGAGTTCCAGGACAGCTGGGGCTACAGGGAGACCCTGTCTCAAAAAAGACCAAAAAACCAAACAAAACAAAACAAAAAATGTTACAATAAGCGATCGGAGGGAACTGACTAAGATCAGCATGCTGAATACTTTATATCGTGAGTCTGCAAGCAAGAAACACATTCTATAATATATAAAATGCACAGTTGTAAAATTCTACTTTTAATGTTTTTTTAATTAAAAAATTATTATTTTAATTTTATGTATATGCGTGTATTGCCTGCATGTAGGCAAGTGCACTCCGTGTCGTGCAATGCCTGAGGAGGTAAGAAGAGGCTGTCAGATCCCCTGGGACTGGAGTTATGGACAGTTGTTAGCTGTCATGTGGGTGCTGGGATTTGAACCCAGGTCTTCTGCAAGAACAACCAGTGTTCTTAACTGCTGAGCCATCTCTCCAGCCCCATACTTTTAATGTTTTTAAGTTAAAAGAATTAAATTTTTCTTTTTTTAATTGAATTTTTGTGTATTTCATACATAAAATCATTTTCATATCCCCTTCTCCCATTCCCTTTGGCACCCTCTCATCGCCCCCCCCCACTGGAATTTATACATTCTGTCATTTGTTTTAAGGCCTATTATGTAAAGTTAGTGTCCTGCGATGTCCCTTAGTGCAAGTTCATCCACTGGGGTTTAGTCAGCCTATCTAGAGTCTCTCCCTTCAAGCAGATCAGCTCTTCCTCACCAGCAATAATTAGCTGCCAATGATTCTTCAACTAACATTGGGGCCTGCTGTTCATTTCCACAGTTCTGTGCTTGGTTTTTGTCTGCCTAAGTTTTCATGGGTCTTGTGCATGCTGACACCATTGCTGTAGGTTCGTATGAGAAGGGTCCCAGGAGGCTGTAGGACCATTTCTGTATAGTTGTGCACCTCCCCCCTTCTTTTTTCTTTTTTAAAAAAATTATTTTTATTTTATGTGCATGAGTGTATTGCCTGCATGTATGTAAGTGCACCCGTGTTTACAATGCCCGCAGAGGTCAGAAGAGGGTGTCAGTTGGATCCCCTGGAATTGGAACTATGTGGGTGCTAGGGACTGAACCTGGGTCCTCCTCAAGAACAGCCAGTGCTCTTAACCATGAGCCATCTCTCCAGGCCCCCCCTTTAAGAATTTACTTTTTCAATAATTAAAAATTTTCACACATGGATTGGAGTGGACCTTAGTGGCAGAACACATGCTTTAGCATACTCAAGGCCCTGGGTTCAAGCTCCAGCACCAAAAGAAATTACTTTTTCATACCTGGAAATGTACGAATGCCGCTCTTGAAACCTTGTGACCACAGCTGAATGCAGTGAAAAGGGAAGATGCCAAGGCAGCAAGTCAGGGTCTGGGGGCTTGTCCTGTGGAGAGAATAGATACATGCAGTACATTTCTACAAGAAGGGAGAAGCATCTGCTGAGGGCCATTATTATTGATTCAAATAAACTCTGTGGAAGCATCTATAGGACATCAATGTTCAGCATGGAAAAGCAAATAATTTGGCACAGATTATTAGTTTTTCAAAAAGTTCTCAATGTGCTGTAACCCTTTCTAAAGAAATTAACTTCTGCTGGGCATAGTGGCGCACGCCTTTAATCCCAGCACTTGGGAGGCAGAGGTAGGTGGATCTCTGTGAGTTCAAGGCCAGCCTGGTCTCCATAGTGAATCCAGGACAGCTGGGGCTACAGGGAGACCCTGTCTCAAAAAGACCAAAAAAAAAAAAAAAAAAAAAAAAGAAAGAAATTAACTTCTTCTGGGTGTGGAGGTGAACCTCTGTAATCCAAGAATTTTGGAGGCAGAGGCAGAAGTGTTACAGTAGCAAAGAAGGTCCCCTTAAGAGAAAACTGGTCAAGAAAATAAAAACCAAGGGCTGGAGAGATGGCTCAACGGTTAAGAGCATTGCTGCTCTTGAGAAGCACCTGGGTTCAGTTCCTAGAACACACATCATGGTTAACAACTGTCTGAAGCTCCAGTTCCAGAGGATGACGCCCTCTTCTGCCTTCCATAGGTACTACATGCAAATGGTACTCTTAGATCTATACAGGAAAAACACTAATACACATAGCATTTAAAAAGTAAATAAATACATAAATAAATAGTAAAATTTAAAAACGAAAACAGAATAAAAATCTCTGGCCTGGATGAAGACCCAGCATTCCAGTTCAGTCGAGTCAATCACCTGGTCACAGGACCTCCTCTAGGAAGATAGGCAGTTCACCTTGAATCATGCTAGAGAGACAGTGGAATAGTAGTGTGGTAATGACATGAACTTCTCCTGCCCCTATCCCTAAAAGGCAGCAGCCACATAGCCTCCTAAGTCTGTATGTTTTTAGAACATGTAACCTCTCCTTTCTTTTTTTAAAAATATTTTTTATTATTTTTATTTAATGTGTATGAGTGTATTGCCTGCATGTAGGTAGGTGCACCCATATCCCACAATGCCCACAGAAGTCAGAAGAGGACATCAGATCCCCTGGAACTGAAGTTACTGATGCTTGTTAGCTGCCATGTGGGTGCTTAAAATGTTCTTAAGCTTCTGTTTGAGCCCATTCTTAAATTCTTTGTAATAAGACTAAGATGGGATCTCATTTTCTCCTGTATCAGAAGGATCACTGAGTTTGACCATCCTGGGCTACATAGGGAGTTCCAGGTCAGTTTAGGCTATACAATGAGATCCTTTCTTAAGAAAAATAAGTTTTTTTTTTTGGTCTATTTGAGGCAGGGTCTCCCTGTAGCCCCAACTGGCCTGGAACTCACAGAGATTCACCCGCTTCCACCTCCCGAGGCCTGGGACCAAAGGCATGCACTACCACGCCCAGCAAGAAAAACTTTAAAAAAATTTTTTTATTTTATGTGTATGAATGTATTACCTGCATGTAGGTAAGTGCACCCATGTTGTGAAATGCCCACAAGGACAGAAGAGGCTGTCGGATCCCCTGGAACTGGAGTTAACAGACAGTTGTTAGCTGCCATGTGGGTGCTGGGATTCAAACCCAGGTCTTCTGCAAGAACGACTAGTGTTCTTGACTGCTGAGCCATCTTCCAGCTCCAAGAAAAAACATTTTTAATTAATTTATTTATTTGGGGAAAAGAAAGGAGTTTGAGCAGGGTTTTACTATAAAGCAAGGCTGGTAGGAACTTATTATGTAGCCCAGGCTGGCCTTGAATGTGTATCTTCTTGTCTCTGTCTCTGGCTGTAACTAGGTAGCTGGTTAGATATTAGCAGACTTAGAGGGCATTGAGGATGTTCCTCTCCTCCTTAATCAGAACCTTGTAAAACAGGAACTGAAACTGCAGGACTTTGGTTACTGGTCAAAAGAATGGGATCTGAGTCTATCATTGGCTCAGAGTGGAGACTTGACATTCTGAACCACCCAAAGCTCCTAAGATGACTCTCTAACCCTAGGCATTCTGGCAAAGAACACAGACACCACTCTTCTCCATAAGAGAAAATCCAACAGGGTCTGCCAGTCACCTGGAGGAGAAAACCTGCCCCAAATAAAAAGCTGTCATTTCTTTTTCTGGTCTTTTTAAGGCAGGGTCTCCCTGTAGCCCCAGCTGGCCTGGAACTCACTATGTAGACCAGGTTGGCCTTGAACTCACAGAGATCTGCCTGCCTCAGCCTCCCAAGTCCTGGGATCAAAGGTGTGTGGCACCACACCTGGCCTTACTATCAATTCTTATCCTGAGAGTGGGCTCTAGGGTTATCATCACCCTCCCTCCTCATGAGTGTGTTATCCTCTACTGCACAGTCACTGCCCACTACCTTCCATACTGTGCTTCAAGTGTCTCCCCTGCATCCTTTTGATGGAGGCCAGGGGGTGGGTAGTAGAGTGGAGGCCAGAGTGAGATCCCAGTGACAAGATCTTGATAACTCCATGTAAATGCTTTAAAATTGTATTTATTGACTTGTGTGTGTGAGAGAGATAGAGACAGAGACAGAGAGACAGAGAGACATGTGTGGTACAGCAAGTGTCTGGAGGCAGAGGACAGCTCTCAGGAGTTGGTTCTTTCCTGCAACCTTGACATGGGTTCTGGGGATGGAACTCAGGTCCGCATGGTCACACTTTACCAGCTAAGCTATCTCACTAACTAAATGAGCTTTGCTTTATTTTGTATGAGACAGAGTCTGACACCGTACCCCAAGGTGACATCTAACTTTCAGTAAACCTCCTGCTTCAGCCTCCCAAGTGTTTAGGACTATAGATTTGTAACAGTTTATTGCTTAAAAATTCAACTTGAAGAGCTGGAGAGATAGCTCAGCAGTTAACCACATTGGCTGTTCTTCCAGAGGACCCAGATTTCGTTCCCAGCACCTACATGGTGGTTAACAACCATCCTTAACTCTAGTTCAGAGGGATCTGATGCCCTCTTATGACATGATACAGGTACACTTACATGCATGCAGGTGATACACTCATACACATAAGATAAAAATAATAAACAGAAATTTTTCTTTTTTTTGGTCTTTTTGGGACAGGGTCTCTGTAGCCCCAGCTGGCCTGGAACTTGCTCACAAAGACCCACCTGCCTCTGCTTCCTAAGTGCTAGGATTAAAGGTGTGTGCCACCATGCCAGGCTAAATAGAATATTTTAAAAAATTCAACTTGAAAAGCTCAATATACCCTAACAGTCAATATTTAAGAGAGAGGATGGGCAAAAATAACCCAACGAAACGATCTTACCCCACATGCAGAAAACCCACGGCAGATACCTAGATCTTTAACTCTTCAGTTTGCCAGACTGAGTCGGATTGCATCGTATCTTGCAACTGCAGCTGTATAACTTTTGTCACTAAAAAAGTCAGTTTTGGGTTGGGGGATGGCCATGGAAGATCCTGTTTCAAAAAATAAAAATAGGGCTGGAGAGAGAGCGCAGTGGTTAAGAACACTGACTGTTCTTGCAGAAGACCCAGGTTTGAAACCCAGCACCTACATGGCAGCTAACAACTGTCTGTGACTCCAGTTCCAGGGGATCCGACAGCCTCTTCTGTCCTCCATGGACATTGCAGGACACAGGTTCATTTACCTACATGCAGGCAATACATGCATACACGTAAAATAAAAATAATATATTAAAAAAAATAAAAATAAGAACTACAACAAAAAATGGTTTCTGCTGGGTGTGGTGGCGCATGCCTTTAATCCCAGTACTCAGGAGGCAGAGGCAGGTGGATCTTTGTGAGTTTAAGGCCAGCCTGGTCTACATAGTGAGTTCCAGGCCAGCTAGGGCTACAGAGAGATCCTGTCTCAACAAGACCAAAAAAAAAAAAAAAAAAAAAAAAAAAAAAGGTTTCGGGGGTTGGAGAGATGGTTCAGTGGTTAAGAGCACTGACTGCTCTTTCAGAGGACACGGGTTTGATTTTCAGCACCCACATGGAGGCTAACAACTGTCCTAACTCCAGTTCCAGGGATTCTGACACCCTCTTCTAACCTCTGGGGCACTGCACAACATGGGTGCACTTACACACATGCAGACAATACACTCATATATGTAAAATAAAAACAATAAATAAAACACTAAAAAATGTTTTCAATTTCTACTATATTCCAAACCTTCCCATAAAAAGAAAAAAATAACTTGATCAACTAATATTTTCATTGACCATCATGGTTTGTTTATGTAGAGAGAAATAAGGCTGTTATTTCTGTAATAGAAAAATAAGTCTCATGTTTGCTAATTATTTCCAGATATCCTCTCCCAGCCCCCTCTAAAACAAAAAATAACTCACCACTTTTTGAGACAAGGTCTTCCTATGTAGGAAACAAATAAAAAAACATTTTTTAATTTTATTATTTTTAGATTTTATGTATATGAGTGTATTGCCTGCATGTGTGTAAGTGCACCTGTGTTGTGCAGTGCTCCAGAGGTCAGAAGAGGGTGTTGGATCCCCCAGAACTGGAATTAGGAAGGTTGTTAGCTGCCATGTGGGTGCTGGAAACTGAAGCAGGGTCCTCTTGCAAGAGCAGCCAGTGCTCCTAACCGCTGAGCCATCTCTCTAGCCCAAAACAAACATTTTTTTTTTTTCTTTTTGAGACAGGGTCTCCCTGTAGCCCCAGCTGTTCTGGAACTCACTATGTAGACCAGGCTGGCCTCGAATTCACAAAGATCCACCTGCCTCTGCCTCCTGAGTGCTGGGATTAAAGGCATGCACCACCACGCCTGGCTAACAAAATTTTAAGTTGACAACATAATTGTATATATTTATGGGGAATGAAATTGATATGCTTTATGCATACAATATGGAATAATTAGATCAATATGATTAATTAGCATATCCAGTACCTCAAATATTTATCAATTTTTCAGTGAGAACATTTGAAATATATTTTCTTAGAAATTATTTTTAATATTTTATTTTTATTCTTTTTTTTTGTTTTTGGTCTTTTTGAGACAGGGTCTCCCTGTAGCCCCAGCTGACCTGGAACTCACTATGTAGACCAGGCTGGCCTCGAATTCACAGATATCTGCCTGCCTCTGCCTCCCAAGTGCTAGGATTAAAGGCATGCGCTACCATGCCCAACTATTTTTATTATTCTTATCTTACTTTATGTGTATGAGTGTATTGCCTGCATGCATGTAACTGCACCCATGTCATGCAATGTCTGAAGAGGTCAGAAGAGGGCCTTGGATCTTCTGGAACTGGAATTACAGATGGCTGTTAGCTGCCATGTAGGTGTTGGGAACTGAACCCAGGTCCTCTGCAAGAACAGCCAGTGCTCTTAACCACTGAGCCACCTCTCTAGCCCCTCTTTTGGTAATTTTGATAGGCAAGTGCTCTGTCACTGAGCTACACTCCCAGACTCTCTTACTAACTTTTAAATGTACAAAACACTACTGTTCACTGTGTTGACCACCCTATGCAATAGCTCTCAAAACAAAATAAGAAAAGAAGATCTCATTCGTTTTCCCTGAGGATCTGGGCCCTCTGTCCATGATCTCTCCTTCACCTGCAGCCCCAGCTCCTAGTGGCTCCTCTGCTCATTTCAGACTCCACGTGTAAGGAAGAACATGTACACTTGTCTTTTTGTGCTGCCTTATTTCACTTAGCAGTATGTTCTTCAGTTCCACCCACACTGTACCATCCATATCACAATGGCAGAATTTCCTTTTTATTTATTATTATTATTATTATTATTATTAATTTTGGTCTTTTTGAGACAGGGTCTCCCTGTAGTCCCAGCTGGCCTGGAACTCACCATGTAGACCGGGTTGGCCTCGAACTCACAGAGATCCATCTGCCTCTGCCTCCCAAGTGCTGGGATTAAAGGCATGTGCCACCACGCCCAGCCTTCCTTTTATTTTTTAACTTTTATTTATATAGTGGCTGGGAATTGAACCCAGGGCCTTGAGCATGCCAAGCAAGCACTCTACCTTTGTGCTACATCACCAGCAGAATCTTGTTCTGAATGATGTTCTACCATGTATATCTATTATACTTTATCCATTCATCTGTTGAGAGACACAGGTGAGCACAGGAGTATATGGGGGAGGGGGCAGTTTTCCACCAGAGAAAGTATAACTGCTCAAATATATTTTATATAATAAAAAGAGGTGCTAATTACTCACTCATGGGAAAGCCTGAATTGTGGCAATTCAAACTGTTTGAAATGCTGCTGTCATAGAGATTTGCAAAAACAATCTCTAAGCAGCAACCAATAGAGAAAATAAGATGATCTGAGTGTTCCATAAAATGCAATGGGATTACCTTCTTATGACTAAAGAAAAAGGTTGGGAGGATCAGATGTTCAAGATGATCCCCAGCTACGTAGTAAGTTCAAGGTCAGTGTGAGCTACATGAGCCCTTGTCTAAGAACAGCCAGCATGGTGGCACAGGCCTTTAGTCCCAACAGAGAGACCCAGTCTCAAAAAGACTGAAAAAAAAAAAGAGTTTAATATCTATAATAGCCTGAAGAATATTATGCAATCCAAGACTCCCATTAAGGTCAATGATCTTTAAAAAAAGGTGGTTGGAAAAGGTAATTACATATTTTAGGAACCATGAATTTTGAAGGTCTTTGGAACAGAAAGAAAAGGCATGTAGACTTAAGGTTTAGGTAACAAGAATAATTTGAATAAAATTTTGGTCTAGAAGACCAACTTCTTAAATTATTTTTATTTTATGTGTATGAGTGTATTACCTGCATGTATGTAAGTACACCCATGTCTCACAATGCCTGCCCATGGAGGTCAGAAGAGGATGCCAGATCCCCAAACCGGAGTCACAGATGGTTGTTAGCTGCCATGTGGGTGTGGGGATTCAAACCCAGGTCCTCTGTTCTTAACCACTAAGCGATCTCTTCAGTCCCTAGAAGACCTTCTTTTAATATTACATACATTAATCTAGACCTTAGTGTGTCCCATCTTAGTCATCAAAACAAATCTTGTTAGTCTTCTTAGTAAAAATCCCTAGCTTGTAAACTTGAACTAACTAGAATGGTAACTGTATTCCTTGGTAGATGAACATCTGGGTAGATTTAAAATCAAGTACAAAAATGTTTGAAGGCCATGGTTTAGAATTTAGTGTCTCTGTCAAAAGTTCATGCTGAAACTTAATTCCCAGGGCAATTGTTTTTAAGAGGAGCTTTTAGGAGGTAATTAGGCCAGGAGAGCTGCCATAGATGGGATTAGCATCCTTACAAAGGGCCTTGAGGGGTTACCTCTTTATCCCTTCTATCCCTTTTACTAATGAGGACACAGATTTCATTTCTGTCCTTTGGTGAATGAAGCAACAAGGTGTCATGACAGAAGAAGACAGCAGTCTCCGTCTGGCACTGTCAACACCTGGATCTTGGACTGTCCTAGTTTGCTTTAACTGCTGTGACAAAACACTCTGACCAATACCAACTTGGGGAGGAAAGGGTTTATTTGGCTTACATCTCCTAGGTCATAGTTCATCACTAAAGGAGCCCAGAACCCAGGGCAGGAACCTGGAGCACACATCATGGAGAACAGCTGTTTACTGTCTTGCTCTCCTGGCCAGTGCTCGGCCTACTTTCTTACACATCACAGGACAAGCTGCCCAAGGGTAGCACCGCCCACAGTGGGCTGGGCCCTCCCACATCACTAAACAATCAAGAAAATGTCCCACAGACATGGCCACAGGCCAGTCTGATAGAGGAAATTCCCCAGTTGAGGCTCCCTCTACTCAGGTGGGTAAAGTTGACACTGAAGCTATCCAGCACATGGACGTCCCAACATCTACAACTGTGAGAAATAAACATCTGTTCTTTGTGTATTCCCCATTCTTGGGTATTTTGTTTTAGCAGCATAAATGAACTGCAGGGTCTAAGAAGGGAAAGATTTAGAATTAAGTATAAGAACATTTAAGAGACTCAAAACCATAGTTGGCAAAGCCTTGCTGAGAAGAGGCATTTGAGCAATGTCCAAAGGAGAATCATGCATGTTTGAGAGAAGAGTATTTCAGGAAAAGAGAATAGCAAGTGCAAAGACCGTAAGGTAGAACAGGTGAAGGTCCAAAGGTTTTGGATGGGGAAAGCAGGGCATGGTGGTCCACACAGTACTCTCTGTAAGTTCCAGGCCAGCCTGGTCTACAGTGTTTCAGGCTAGCTGGGGCTACAGGGAGACCTGTCGCAAAAAGACAAAACAAAACAAAACAAAAAACAAAACAACAAAAAAAGATGTTTAAAAAAAAAACTGACATAAAATATTATATTTGGAAGACATTGCTGTATTTTGAGCAGGTAAGTAAAAAAATATGGAGACATCAAAAAACTTTCTGTTAGGGTTTGGATATACAGCAACACCCTCCCCAACAGGGTCTCATAGTTTTGCAAGCCCTCTGGCTGTTCTCTCCTGATAAGCCCTGGGCTCTCTTCCCCGCCTAACTTGTTTTTTTTTTTTTTAATATTTTTCCCACCTTCCACATTCCCCAAAGCCCCTATAAACCCCCCAGCCAACAGCCTGTAAACTGACAGCTCCTCTGTCCCAAAAGGGGAACTGTCCGTGCATTTTCCCTGCCAATAAACTCTATCCCACCAGAGTTCATGTCTGTGTCCTGGTGCTTT